AGAGAGGAGAGAAATGAATTGGATTATGTTAGGGTTTGGATAGATTTAGGTTTTATATTAATTTGGTGGGGGTAGGTAGTAGGGTGGGTACAAATGTTAATTTAATTTTATAATATTATTATTAATATTTAATTAAATATAAAAATATGTATTTATCTATAAAAAATCTGATTTTTGAACATTAAAACTTAAAATGTTATTTTTGAACTTGATCTTGAAAAGTAGGCCTCTATGTAATTTCCACATTTTTTTTTAAGTTAAAGGCTAACTAGCCCAAGAGAGAAAGCCCAAACATTTAAACCTGACTTCCGTTTCCATCTTCATTAAACGACTTCATCCTTTGCTCGATTGACTGCTCCCCTACTCTCAGCCTCCATTTCGCAGCCTGAACCTGAAGCATCAGCCTCCGGCACTTCGCAGCCTCCGCCTCCAGACTCGTTCCTCTCAGGCTCAACAACTCCATCCTCCACAGTCTGCCTCGAAGAGTCATAATCGCCTCATCTGCTCTCCTCCTCCACCGGACCACCTCCAGCGGCCAGCCTCCGCCTCTATTGACTTCCAGGTATTTTCTTTAGGCTTTAGCAATTGGATTTTTGGATTATTGGCATTTGGCGATAGCTTGAGTCTTCATACTGAAAATCTGAAATTGTTCTTTTTTTTAATACTATATTGGCGAAGGTGGCGGGGAGGTGGCAGTCCAAAACTTTATTGATAACTTCAACAAGACTGCCATCTATGATGACTTTTCCAATTTTTAGGCTTCGTGGAGCACCAAAGGCATAATAAATCGCCTGAGGGAGATCCATCCTGATGTAGACATCACCTCGATTGTTGATGAGTTTGGAGGTCCTACTAGGGGTCGACCCGAAATGGAATAGCTTGAATATGTTCTTCCTCTAATTGGCACCTCCTGCTACCAAGGCAAACCCAAAGGATGATGATGCAATCGGTCCAAGGGTCATAGTGATAGTTAATCCTTAGAAGTGTTGGAACGTTTCGCACTTCTTACATAATGGCCTCGGCCTCGGCCTCGCCTTTTGCAACTTCATAAATAAGAATGAAGCTTTACTTTCACCGAGTATAGACATTTTTTGTTTTACTTTATGCATTTACTTTGATGCTTCAGATCTTAATAAATTATCAAACAATCAACCCTCATTCCATTACAAATGAACTAACACGAAATAGAGACCTCAATTTAAAATACAACTTGCGTATTTATCCAAGTGTTGACACCTCACACAACATAGCATTTCACCCTCATTAGGCATAGAAATATCACCTTGGATAGGTATCGACATATCACCTCGATTAGGTGCAATCTAGACCGAACTTTTAACAAAGTGTTGACGCTTCGATTTACTTTTATGAGAATATTAATATTTTTTATGCTTTACAGAGTTTTAGGTAGGCCCCTTCCAAAGGTAGATTCATCTCTCTCCTATCGAGACACTGTTAACACTTCTCTGCATGGGAGTGGTATATCCATAGCAAGGTGGAAGGCATCATCTTCGTAGGGGTCTGAGGTAGAGGTATGTTAATAAATCGATTGGTTGAGGCGTCGACCACCTCTTCTTATAAAGTGGACATTCTTGCATAGGAGGTACGCATCCATGACAAGGGCATCTCCCAGGTAGATGGTGTAGCCATCAGAGGCATCATCTTCGTAAGGGTTTCGAGGTGGAGGAACCAGTTGGCTGAGATGCTTCTCACATCTCCTTATGAAGTGCACATTCTTGCATGGGGTGCACATCCAAAGCAAGGACTTCTCCCATGTGGATTATGCAGTTGTGGAAGGCATCATCTTCGTTGGGAGTTCGAGGTGGAGGCCTCTGGTTCAGGAACCAGTTGGTTGAGGCATCTCTTACCTATTCTTACGAAGTGGACATTTTTTACATGGGAGTGCGCATCCATGGCAAAGGCTTCTCTCAGGTAGATGGTACAACCGTAGGAGGCATCATCTTCGTACGGGGTCCAATGTGGAGGCCTCTGGTTGAGGAGCCAGTTGGCTGAAATGCCACTTACCTCTCCAAGTGGATATCCTTAGTAAAAAAGTGTGAAA